AACGTTCTGGTTGCAGAAACAATCCATTGCATTGTGTTAGACAGAGGAAGCATATCCAGAATGTGTAGAGTGGTTAAAATGTTTTCTTAACTTTAAAGAATATAGCGATGTGAGGGGGCTGAGAAGGCACTGTTGCAAATTACCAAGCTATGGAGGAAAGAATACTGTGAAGAAGACGTAAGGTTGCAGACAGATGTACTAGCTAGGTTGAGTGGCCACTTTATGGCAGATGATGCATGATGTGGGGAGAATGTGTTATTCATTGCTTAGGCAGAAAGAATGAAAAAGCACAGGATTACTAAAATGGAGATAGACTGTGGAATTCCAGAAGGGCAGAGAGATTTAGATGTTCTCGTGCATGAGTTGCAAAAAGTTAGTACGCAGGGACAATATGTAATCAAAAAGGCTAATGGGGTGCACTCCTTTATTAAGAGAGGAATTGAATATGAAATTAAGAATCAAAAACAAATTGCTGGAAATACTCTGTAGGTCCGGCAGCATCTATGGAGAGAGAGCAAATTAATGTATTGGGTCCAGTTGTGAAGAACAGTCTCTGGACCCAAAAGATTAACTCTGATCTCTTCCCACAGATGCTGCCAGACCTGCTGAGTTTTTCCAGCAAGTTCTGTTTTTGTTTCTGATTTCCAGCATCAGCAGTTTTTTTTTTTTTTGTTTAGTGTAAAAGTAAGAACGTTATGCTTCAGTTATACAGGCCATGGGTGAATACTGTGTGCATTTTTGGTCTCCTTGCTTAAGGAAGGATATACATTCATTGAAGACAGTTTAGGAGAGGTTTGCTAGATTAATGCCTGGAATAAGCAACAAGTAATTAAGAAGGCAAATAGAATTTTGGCCTCTATTGCTATGAGGTTGGAGTTTTTTGAGCACAGGAGTCTTGTTACAGTTCTAGAGTGTTGGTGAGACCAAACCTGGAGTACTGTGTACAGTTTTGGTCCACTTATTTAAAAACATTATATTAACGCTTGAGGCAGTTGATTCACTAGGCTGATTCCTGGGATGACTTATCAAGACCAGCTGGACTGTTTAGGCCTTTATTCATTAGAGTTGAGAAGAATGAGGGGAGGTCTTAACATATCAAATTCTGAGGGACTTGATGGAGTAGATATTGAGAAGATGTTTCCACTAGTGGGGGGCAATCTTGAACTAGGGCACTTCCTTACAGGATAAGGGATACTCATTTAGAACTTGGATGCAAATGAATTTCTCCTCCCAGAGGGTAATGAATGTCTGGAATTCTCTACTCCCAGAAAGTTGTGAAGGCTAGATCACTGACAGTATTGAAAGAGGGGCTGGCTAGAATTTTGAAACATGGAGTTGATGGTTATACCGAACTGGCATGAAACAGGAGATGAGGCCTGGGCAGATCTGCTATGATCTTGTTGAATGGTTGGGGCAGATCTGAGGCCAAATGGCCTATTTTTCCTTCTATTTCTTTGTACAGGCTGGGCTTGTTCCACTGGGGTTGGTGAGAGGTGACTTTATTGAAGTGTTTAAGGTCTTGAATTCTCTTTACAAGGTAGATGTAGAAAATAATATCCCTTCTTCTAAGTGACTCAAGAACTAGGGTGCACTGTTTTAAAATTAGAGGCCACCTTTTAAGACAGATGAGAATTTATTCTGAGTGTTATGTGACTTTGGAACTCTGCCTCAGGAAGCAGGACCATTAATTGTCTTAAGGCAAAGGTAAATAAATTCTTGTTAGGTAAAATTATCAAAGGTGATTGGAGGTTGATGGGAACATGAGATTGGAGATGAGCAGAATCGACCTTATTGAATGGTGGAGCAAAATCAAGGGCCCAAATAGTTTATTTATGCCCTATTCTGTATGTTCGCATGAGTTCAATGTGCTTCAGATTTGGGACTGACCACACACTCAAGTCACTAAAAAGAGTTTTATTTCCAGGTTTAGAAAGAAGCTGGGGTAAACCACTTTATCAGCACAAATCAACTGAAATAACCTTAGTATTTTAAGAAATAGTCTTAAGCTGTCAATGAAAAAAAGCTGAAATGAAACTGAATATGAAATGTAAGGCAGTTGTTTTTGGGGGAGTCTGTGGTTTACAGTTTACACAATCTGGACCTTATTGTATCCCTCTGATGGGAATTTCTCTGTTCAAGATATTAATGGCATTAGGTGATAGGAGTCTCGAAGGTTAAAAAGCCTACTAAAGGATACAGAGTAGGGGACCAGGAGTAACCTAAACATGTAGATGCAATCAATGTTTTTAAAAAAATGCTGTTGTGGCTCATGTTGAGTCTTCCGTTAATGAGAGATTTTAATGAGGTTATGCAATGTCTTGATGACATGGGGTAAGGGGACAAAAGTTATCTTTGTACTTCATAGACTTAGCAACTAGATTTATCCAATTTACAATATTATATAATAAAAAGAGAAAAAAGTATTTGTAGCCAAAATAATGGAGAAATAGTTCAGGATTGGACTCTGTACACTGGCTAAATTGATCATTATGCTTGCATTTTACCAAGAGTGAGTTTAGTGTATGTGTTAAATATGAACATTTTTATGTGATGAATATAGCAATTAAATGTTTTATTGGCACTGGAGTTTGAGTGAAAAAAGTTGTGCGTTTTGTAAAGTCTTAGAGGGCCAACAGGTTTCCCTTGATATCAGTTGAGTTTGGGAGAAATCAAAAAGAAATTGGTGATCATCCCTGGATTGGGAAGAACTGCAATTAGCTCACTTTCTGAGCACTTGAAAGCCTGCATGGAGAGAGAAGGGTATTTATTTAAGACTGAGATTTCAGAGGAAATTTGGCAAGCCTTACAGCATTGTATGAGGCTAATAAGGCCATTCCAATGTACAGAGTCATGACCTTGCTACAAATGAGTACTTGGTTAACCTGGTAAAGCAGCATGTGCAAGCTTACTCCTCCATGTCCAGGAAACAAACTAATAATATTTCGCCACCAAGTAATGTATATTGTAATCAACCTCTTGATACCAACAGAAACCACGCGGTCTGAAAACAACACTTGATTCTCTGTATCAAAATGCCCAATGTAGAGGAGTAAAAGTAAGACTGCACCAGTTTAATTTATGGAACTGTGGGAGTATATTTTTCAACATACGAAGAATGGAAGAAATACATTCTGCATTATTAAATCCTATACAAGGGCAATCTCAAACAAAAAAAGGCCCATAACATGTTTTGTGGATAATCATTCTCCTTTCTGGACAATATTCATTTGTGAAAAGTTGAGAATTGACCTTGATAGTGTGAAAAGGAAACCTTGAAAAGAATAAATTTCTAAAATAAAATGGGTTGATGCAAGACACCAGTTTGCAGATTGTTTTACAAAAAGAAATACTTGTACTGAGAAATGATTAAATGTCTTCAGAGAGGGTCATTTTATCTAATAAGAACATAGGAACCAATGGTTTGGAACGCTTTGTAATTGAACATTTTCTAATAGTTCTTTAAAGAAAGAAGGAGAATTAATAAAAATAATTTTCTTTGCACTTATGCTTTTCAAAATATAAAGAAATTATCATTTAAAGAGAAGAGAATCTGTTAATATAACAAGCAATTAGTCAGAAGGTGAATGCGTGATAGTTATTAAGCGATGTCCAGACATGTTGAAAGGAAACAGCTGGACTCATATGAGAGCTGTTAGACTTCTATAATTAATAGACTGACTTTGTGCAATGTTTTTGTCTCTTTTTATCTATATTTAAAAATCCTGGTTAGAATCCAATAACCCGAGGCGCTGAGTGAGCTGTTTCAAAGTTACCTGCTTAAGTCTCAAGGTGTCCAAATAATAGTCGATGGGGTCTGTTCGACCTCTCAAACCTGGCTGGCAAGCCTTTGAAATCCAAACATGGCTGGAAGGTTTCATTATTCATGTGTATTTGTTCCAAATCTAGGATTTGATTGTACAGGGATGCGTGCGAGCTGAAACATGATCCTGTTTTGTAAGAAGGTTATTGGGCCCATTTGGATTCTTTAGTAAATAATATTCCCTCCTATCCATCTCCATTGTCCTCATCAAGTTGGTGAGCTTCTTTAATTAACTTTTGAATCAACTACTTAGTTGACTGAAGGTCATAGAATCACTTCAGTGTGGAAACAGGCCATTCAGCCCAACAAGCCCACACTGACTCTCTGAAGAGCATCCCACCCAGATTCACCCCTCTACCATATCCCTGTAACCCTACATTTCCCATGGCTAATTCACCTAACCTGCATATCCCTGGACACTATGGGCAATATAGCATGGCCAATCCACCTAACCTGCATGTCTTTGGACTGAGGGGACACACACACATAAAAAGAGCCAGTTGCCCAAGGCTGGAATTGAACCTGGGTTCCCAGCGTTTTGAGGAGCGGTGCTAACCACTGTGCCACCATGCTGCCTGCACCACTTCTTAAAGGCAGTTTTGGACACTCCTCGTTTGGTTTTGCCAGTGATACTTGCATTGTCTTCTCTGGCTAGTAGTTATTTCTTGAGGTTTTATCACCAAACACAAAACCAGTGCAATTGGTCACTAAGACATCCAACTTCTGCATATACCTTTTTATCAGAAAGTGAACAAATTCCTTTTGCCTAATAGTCTGTCCATCAAAAAAAATCCTTTCTTTCCCTCATGTCCTATAAGTGTAGAAAGAAAAACAAGTATATATTTAATGAAATGTGCTGAATGAATTTTCATCTGGGTTTTACTTCAGCGGTGTTCTGCACATTGTCCTGGAGCGTCCATGATTATTCAGAGTGCTAGTAACCTTAAGAAATGCCACATCCTGAGAACCAATTATGCAAATATAATTGAGAAAGGCAATTGTCTCCCACTTGGGAAGTTGGACACTTGTTACAGCCTTAAAGATCAGGGTATCATTCTAACAAATTACTTCATAGCTATTGAGAAAGAAGCCAATCTAAAGTTGAGCTTAAACCTCACTATAATTAGCAATAACATATAATTTTCCTGACTAAATGTATCCTCATTGTATTTTTTTTTAGAGTATTGCCATGGTGATGATTGGAATCGGTTTGTATGCCAGGGTTATGAAGCACGCGGGTGAGTGATGTGATATATTATTATTTAATTTCTTCAGTGCTTTGGAAACTACTGGAGAAAGGGCAGAATTCTGGTTGTGAAGGGAGAAGTGGGGTGCAAAAGAGCTTTGTTAGGATTGCAAAGTAAAGGGTGGGGTTTGAGTGAGGACAATAGAGGATATGTGGATGGGGCTGGGGTGGATTGGAATAGAGAGGTGAGGGTTGTGTCATTGTGGGTGACAGAACTGGTCATATTTTTCAGAGGCTGCCATGGCCTGTCTTGCAGTGGACCCTGCCATCCTCCTCATCGTGGTTGGTGCACTGATGTTCCTGATCACATTCTGCGGCTGTATAGGATCGCTGCGTGAGAACATCTGCCTCCTTCAGACGGTATGTGACACACTTCAGGCTAGGGGGCATGCCCAGCTGCGATGTAACACTAGGTAGGGTGGGACTCGCTTCACTGATATTTGGGGCTAAGGTTGAGCTGATTCTGCTGTCAGAAGTCCCTCAAGCAACTTTTGTCTAATATCCTACAATTTACTTTGCCCAGATCTGAATGTGGGAAGATTGAGGAGTGATGAGGGATTCTCTGGAAGACTGCATGTTGTGACTGTTGTCACTAGTATTGTCAATGCCAGGAAATTGAATAGAATTTTCAGATGACCAAAATCTCTGAATGATGAACTGAGGAGGATTGTAATAAAGTTTGTAAGGGTATAAGTTGGTGGAATGGACAGACATGTGGCAGTGAATCTAAATGTAGAGAATTATGAAGTGATTTGTTTTGGTGAGAAAACAAGGAGGGATGATATAAAGTAAAGAGCACAGTTCTAAACGGGGAGGGTCCTGGGGACATATGTACAAAAACCTGTGAAGGTAGGACAACTTGAGAAAGTGTTTATTAAAACTTGTGGAATCCTGGGCTGTACTAGACCAAGAAAATTCTGATAAATGTTTACAGTCAGCTGGAGTATCGTGTCCAATGCAGGCCACCACCACCTAGGAAGAACGTGAAGGCTTTAGACAGGGTGCAGAAAAGATTCACAAGAAAACTTCTGGGGCTGAGACCCTTTGGTTGCAAACATGGATCAGTGAAGAAACTTGATAGAGATTTTCAAATTAAGATGTTTGGACAAAATGGACAGGCAGAAATTGTTCACATCTTGGAAGGGTCAAAGAGCTAGAAGCTATCATAGTTGATGGACAAAAGAAGCAACAATAACACCCAGGAGAATCTTTTATGCAGGGAGAATTTAGAATCGGGAATGCCCAGCCTTGCGTATATTCAATCATACTTTTCAAAGAAGAATTAGAGAATTACTTGGAAAAAATAATTGCAGGCTGTGGGGAAGGAATGTGGGGTATTATCATTGTGACAGCCAGCATGAGCCTGATAGTCTAAATGGCTTCTTTCTGTGATTCTATTTGATAAAGTATTAGCTTGGGGCAATTGAGACAAGCGTGGATTTATAGGGTTTCAGCTACTTTGATAGTCAGTCTTCATTACAGTTTTACCTTTCTATTTACTACCCAGTGCCACTTGTTGAATTATTAACTTTGCCCCCTTGTGTGCTCCAACACTCAATCTACCATTCTGATTTTGATTTGTTGTGATTTGATTTTCCAGTTCTCTATCTGCCTGACACTGATTTTTTTGCTACAATTGGTTGCCGGCGTTCTAGGCTTTGTCTTTTCCGATAAGGTATGCTTTTATTTTCTTGAATTGAGAAATAATGTAGGAGGTGCACCTGGCAAGGAAGGGTTGGGACAGGGTATAGATGAAGGGAGATGGAGACGGCTGAGATGAATGAGGAAATTGTGATCCAGTGATACCAATATGGGATTTAAAAGACTAGAGATGGTCGGAGAAATGGAAAAGGTGGTGGAGAATGTGATGATAATGGCGAATGGGTGATGGATGAGCCCTGAGGTTAACACAGTAAGTTGGAGGAGCAGATGGTTGCTTATATGGAACTTGAGGGGCATAAGGGTGTAAGTGTTGAAAGTCTAAATCAGTACAAAGATTCATATTTGCTTCTCACTTTACTAAACACGTGGTTTGTGTATCACTGGTTCCAAGAAGATTAGCATCGGGCTGTTCATTCATTGGTGATGTAGCCCAGTGTCCACAGTAACTGGGGTAAAAGCTACTTGCAACTTATTTAAAACACAACCATGTGATTAATCAGCCGAAGGCAAAGCAAGATTTTGAATTATAACCACTGCTTTCAGAGAGAAGAGACTTGAAACTATTGAAAACCAGTGAAACTGCATTGTAACAGTCATTCAGCATGGAAACGGACTCTTCAGTCCAAACAATCCACACCAACCATAATCCCAAAATAAACTTGTCCCACTTGCCTGCACTTGGCACATATCCCTCAAAACATTTCTTATTCATATATTTATCCAAATATCTTTTAAATGTTGTAACTGTACTGGTATCCACCACTTTCTCTGGAAGTTCATTCCACACACAAACCACACTGTATTAAAAAAAAAGTTGCCCCTCATGTCTTTTTTAAATCTTTCTTCTCCCACCTTAAAAATATGCTCTCTGGTCTTGAAATCCCCCACCCCAGCAAAAATACACCTGCCATTCGTCTTATCTACACCCTTCATTATTTTATAAACCTCCGTAAGGTCACCCCTCAACCTCCTACGCTCTAGTGAAAATAGTCCCAGCCTATCCAGCCTCTTCTTATGACTCTACAGCACTAGTCTTGCATATTTTGAATACGTATTAAATGGAGAATCTTGAAGAATTCTGAACACCTGACTCAATATTTGCAAACTTTACAAAATATAACCTTTAGTATTTTTTTGGATATGCATGGTACTAGTAGGACTGTCACTTATTGTCCACATTTAGTTGTCCTAAGAAGGTGTTTGAGATTTCTTTTCCTTCGCGGTGGTCCCTGTGTATCTGTCATGAATTTTAATGTATCTGAGTTACTTAGTTGGCTATGTGGAGAGTGTGCATAGATCAGTAAGACCATTCAACATAGGATTAGAAGTAGGCCATTCAACCCATCACGTCTGCACTGCCACTCACTGTGATCATGGCTGATCTGATAATCCTCAACTTCACTTTCCTGCCTTTTCTTCATAACACTTGATCCCTTTACCTATTTAAGTATATTCAAGTTGAGATAGATTTTTAATGACAAAAATCAGCAGCCCTTTGTGGTTTAAAAAAAAATCCTAGAGATTCATAAACTAAGGACAGCAAGTTTCTGACCCTGAAGGACGTTGCTGAAGCAATTGAGTTTTTACAACAACTTGACCGTTTAATGGTCGCTTTTTGGTTGTTCCAGCTTTTTGTTCATTATATTTAGTTTTTTTTTCAGTCTATAAACTGAACTACTTGTTGAATGGTGTGATTTTTGGGCTTTCGTTCATGGGGTCGCTAGTGTCCAGTAGCAGAGCTCCACTGTCATCTGTGTGTGATGCATTTACCACTCTGGTCTGTGGAGAATTAATAAACAATGTATTTGCTGGGTCAACCCTTTTTCTGTTCCTGTCACATACCGGAATGGAGCGATACCACACTAGGGGAAGTGCCTCTATACTGGGATTCTTGTACTTTTTTTTTGGACAATTAGTCATAGCTGTTGTGTAGTACACTGCTTGGTTACTGAACGTTCTGTAATGTCTTCACACCAATTCCATCTTAGCTGAAGAAGATATTAGATAATTGTTATCATAGATGTGTGGAAATTAGTTCTATTTTCCCCTTTCAATTGTGCTAACAAAAAAATTCTCATAAAAGCTCACATGCAGGCACATCAAATTGCATTGACCTGTTGTGTTGAAAACTCATTTGGCCCAAGTAGTCTGTACGGTTGTCTCACTGTTTGCATACCTTTCAATTCTCTTCTCATGTGGCTATCTAGTCTGCAATGTATCTATGCCATTGGCTTCAACTATTCCCTATAATAGCAAATTCACATTCAAACTTCTGAATTCTGTGTTGATTCCTAAATTTGGTCTTCTGCTCAAGTGGCTACATCTTCTCTGTTTTACTTTCATATTCTTAAAGCCCGCTATCAAGTCACCCTCAGTCTTTTTACCCTAGAGAAAGAACCCCAGCCACTCAATCTCTCATGATAAAGCTTCCCTTGTGGTGTTACATTTTAGAAATCTTCCTACTACACCTCTCCTTTTCCTAATATGGAGACGAGATCTGTTCATAGAATTCTATGTATATTACAACGTTTGCAACATTTTTGTGTTGGCAGAGGATGAAACTGGGAAACATAACCCAAGGATTCTTGAGGTCAAGTTTGCTTTTATGGAGTTACTGCTCCCTCTGTTGGTTCACTCTGCAAACACAGTATGCTGTGGAAGTGAATCGCTGCAAATCCAACTGGCCAAATCTTTCCACTAGCTGGTGGTGGAAATAGTGGCATCTTCTTCAGCCACAACCATCTGCTAAAGGTGGTTTTGCTGTCCCCATTTGTAGTAGTTTTCTAGGCCACTTCAGCAGGCATTACAAGTCAGTCACAATGTGTGACTAGAGTCGTGTGTAGGCTGAACTGGGTAAAGACGGCAGATTTCCTTCCCAAGGTGACCAGTTAGTTGTTGTCCAGTCAATCCAACTGCTTTGTTGTCATTGTCACTGGTATCAGCTTTATATTTTCAAATGCTGCTACTTAGAACTGAATTCATTCCCAAATGCATGGTGGAATTTGAACTGTCTTTCACTGAAGTAGTAGTCATAGAGTCAGAGAGATATACAGCACAGAAGCAGGCCCTTCAGTCCAACTCGTCCGTGCCGACCAGATATCCCAAATAAATCTAGTCCCATTTGCCAGCATTTGGTCGATATCGCTCTAAACCCTTCTTATTTATATACCCATCCAGATACCTTTTTAAATGTTGTAATTGTACCAGCCTCCACCACATCCTCTGGCAGCTCATTCCATACATGCACTACCCTCTGTGTGAAAACGTTGCCCCTGAGGTCCCTTTTAAATCTTACCCATCTCACCTTAAACCTATGCCGTCTAGATTTGGACTCCCTCCCCAATCCCAGGGAAAAGACCTTGTCTATTTATTCTATCCATGCCCAACATGATTTTATAAACATCTGTTAGGTCACCGCTCAACCTGCGACACTCCAGGGAAAATAGTCCCAGTCTATTCAGCCTCTCCCTATAACTCAAACCCTCCAACCCTGGCAATATCCTTGTGAATCTTTTCCGAACCCTTTCAAGTTTCACAACATCTTTCCTGTAGCAGGGAGACCAGATTTGCACACAGTATTCCAGTAGTGGCTGAACAATTGTCCTGTACAGCCTCAACATGACCTCCCAGCTCTTCTACTCAATGCACTGACCAATAAAGGCAAGCATAGCAAATGCCACCTTCACTATCCTATCCACTTTCAAGGAACTATGAACCTGCATTCCAAGATCTCTGTGTTCAAAAACACTCCCCAGAACATTCCCATTAAGTGTACAAGTCCTGCCCTGATTTGCCTTTCCAAAATGCAGCACCTCTCATTTATCTAAATTAAACTCTATCTGCCACTCCTCGGACCAGTGGCCCATCTGATCAAGATACAGTTGTACTGTGAGGTAACCACCTTCACTGTCCACTGCACCTCCGATTTTGGTGACATCTGCAAACATACTAATCATACCTTCTATGTTCATATCCAAATCACTTATATAGATGCCGAAAAGCAGTGGAACCAGCACCAATCCTTATGGCACACCACTGGTCACAGCCTCCAGTCTGAAAAGCAACCCTCCACCACTACCCTCTGTCTTCTTCCTTCGAGCCAGTTCTGTATTCAAATAATTAGTTCTCCCTGTATTCTGTGTGATTTAACCTTGCTAACCAGTCTAGCATGAGGAACCTTGTCGAATGCCTTACTGAAGTCCATATAGATCACGTCCACTGCTCTGCCCTCGTCAATCCTCTTATTTATTTCAAAAAACTCAATCAAGTCAGGTGAGACACAATTTCCCACACATAAAGCCATGCTGACTATCCCTAATCAGACCTTGCCTTTCCAAATACAAGAGAATCCTGTCCCTCTGGATTCCCTCCAACAACTTGCCCACTATCGACGTCCAGCTCACCGGTCTACAGTTATCTGGCTTGCTCTTACCACTCTTCTTAAATAGTAGCACCACGTTAATCTATCTCTAGTCTTCTGGCACATCACCACTAGTGGTGATTGATGATACAAATCTCTCAACAAGAGGTCCAGCAATCACTTTGCTGGCTTCCCACAGAGTTCTAGGGTACACCTGGTCAGGTCCTTGGGATTTATCCACCTTTGTGCGTTTTAAGGCGTCCAGCACGACCACCTCTGTAATATAGACATTTTTCAAGATGTTGCTATTTATTTCCCCACATTCTGTATCTTCCATATCCTTCTCCACAGTAAACACTGATGCAAAATACTCGTTTAGTATCTCACCCATCTCCAGCGCTTCCACATATGGGTGGCCTTGCTGATCTTTAAGGGGTCCTATTCTGTCCCTTGTTACCCTTGTTGTCCTTAATGTATTTGTAGAATCCCTTTGGATTCTCCTTAACCCTATTTGCCAAATCTATCTCATGTCCCTTTTTCGCCCTTCTGATTTCCCTCTTAAGTATATTCTTACTTCTTTTATTCTCTTCTATGGAATCACTCCATTTCTCCTGTCTATACCTGACATATGCTTCCTTCTTATTCTTGACCAAAGCCTTGATTTCTCTAGTCATCCAGCATTGCCTACACATACCAGGAACATACTGTCTCTGGACACTCGTTATCTCATTTTTGAAGGCTTCCCATTTTCTAGCCATCCCTTTACCTACAAATATTTGCCCCCCAATCAACTTTTTAAAAGTTCTTGCCTAATACCGTCAAACTTGCCCTTCCTCTAACTTTTAGATCCGGTGTATCCTTTTCCATCAGTATTTTAAAATTAACAGAATTATGGTCACTAGCCCCAAAGTGCTCCCCCACTGACACCTCGGTCACCTGCCCTGCCTTATTTCCAAAGAGTGGGTCAAGTTTTGCACCTTCTCTAGTAGGTACATCCACATACTGAATCAGAAAATTTTCTTGTGCACACTCAAATTCCTCTCCATCCAAGCCCTCAACACTATGGCAGTCCCAGTCTATGTTTGGAAAGTTAAAATTCCCTACCATAACTACCTTATTATTCTTACAGATAACTGAGATCTCCTTCGAAATCTGCTTCTCAATTTCCTGCTGACTTTTGCAGGGTCTATAGTACAATCCCCATAAGGTGATTACCTCTTTCTTATTTCTCAGTTCCATCCAAATAAATTCCCTGGGCATATTCCCAGGAATATCTTCCCTAAATACAGCTGTAATGTTATCCCTAATCAAAAATGCCACTCCCACCCCCCCTCCCTTGTCCACTACCCCCCACCCCCCTCCCTTTCTATCCTTCCTATAGCATCTATACCCTGGAACATTAAGTTGCTAGTCCTGCCCATCCTTGAGCCACATCTCTGTATTTGCTATCGCATCCCAGTCCCATGTTCCTAACAATGCCCTGAGTTCACCTGCCTTACCTTGCATCGAAATACCTGCAGTTCAATTTATCAGTCCTACCTTGTTCTTCAGTTTGTTTGCTCCTGCCAGCCTGTCTGTTTGACTTATTCCTTTTCTAACTGTACCAGTCTCAGACTGATCACTTTCCTCACTAAATCCCTGGGCTCCCCCCATCCCCCCACCCCCATCCCTCAAATTAGTTTAAATCCTCCTCCCAAGCAGCTCTAGCAAATCTCCCTGCCAGTATATTAATCCCCTTCGAATTCCGGTGCAATCCATCCTCCCTATACAGGTCAATTCTACCCCAGAAGACATTCCAATGATCCAAAAATGTGATTCCTTCTCCCCTGCACCAGCTCCACAGCCACATATTCATTTGTTCTATCCTCCTATTCCTACCCTCACTAGCTCGTGGCACTGGGAATAATCCAGATATTACTATCCTCAAGGATGTACTTTTTAAATTCCTGCCTAACTTCCTCTATTCTGTCCTCAGAATCTTGTCCTTTTCACTTACTACATCATTAGTTCCATGTGTACAACAACCTCCTGCTGGTCCCTCTCCCCTTTTACAATATTCTGCACCTTCTCCAAGATATCTTTGCTGGCTTCAGGGAGGCAACACACCATTCCGATGTCTCGCTGTCAGCCGTGGAATCGTCTGTCTGTGCCTCTAACTAGAGAGACCCCTATCACAATCGATCTCTTGGAACTTGGCATACCTCTCATTACGCTAGAGCCAATCTCAGTACCAGAAACCTGGCTGTCAGTGCTACATTGCCCTGAGAGCCCCTCACCCCCTACATTTTCCAAACCGGCATACTTGTTTGAGATGGTGATAGCCACTGGAGACTCTTGCACTACCTGCCTCCCTCTCCTACCTTTCCTGGAGGTCACCCATCAACCTGACTATCTTCGGTTTATCTCCCTCCCTGCAACTGCCATCCATCACATCCCCTAGCTCCTGTAAATTCCTCATTGCCTCTAACCGCTGTTACAAGTGATCCATGCGATCCAGTAGGATTTGCAACCAAACACACTTGCTGCAAACATAATCATCAGTAACAAGGAAATTCTCTCTAATCTCCCACATCTAACAGGAAGAGCACATCACTCTAGTAGAGGCCATTCTTGCTGTGACATCATTCACCTACTCCTAGATATTGAGCAGATAATGACTATGGAAGACTAAACTTGGTAGGAAAGTATTGGGTGAGTTCCTAAGATGTACACCCAGAAAAGAGTCTTTTTACATATTTTGTATATTCATGCCTACAAGTGGCAATCCAGTTGGGTTTATTAGGTGGTTATGGGGAAACCTGACTTGATAAGTAGGAGTTATGTTTGTCATTAATTCCCAAATGTTCGCTTGCCTCCAACACAGGCCCGATCAAAGGTCAGTGAGATCATCGACAGTGCAATAGTCCACTATCGAGATGACCTAGATCTCCAAAACCTCATCGACTATGGACAGAAGGAGGTACAGTGCCACATGGTCACAAACTCTCCATTAAATAACCTTTAATCTGATCAGTCTCATTGTGTCGTTCACACGCCAATTTCCTCTTACAAGCTTCCTCTCTTACCCCTCCCTTGCACTGAGTTGCTTCTTATCGTACATTGCAAAATATCATTGCCACAAAAAGTGCTGAAGCATTTGATGTTTGAATTATTGAAGCCTTCAAAAGGGAAACATAGTCTTCGCTTGCAGGTGATGAAGTAATTTAGTTGTAAAAATGATTTGTTGAAACAATCATTTACTCAGTCTTTCAGTTTTAGATTTTAACCTGCAGAAATAATCTTAAAAATTGGAATATAATGTGAGAGTGTAAACTTTGTGAAGAATGGATTCCCTTTGCATTTCTCAATGTGAACCTCCAGTCAGTTAATTTGACATGCTCAGCCTGTAAGCATAACGGAGAATTTGGTTTGGAATTTTCTGTCCTTTATCTCCGTTTTAATATGAATTGTAGAATCCCTACAGTATGGAAATAGGCCATTCAGCCCATCGACTTCGCACTAATGCTCCAAAGAGCATCCCACCCAGACCAAGCCCCTACCCTATCCCCATAATCCCACATTAACAGCCTGTGTATCTGCACATCCAAGGTCCTTCTACACCATAATACTGTAATCAAGATGATGGGACTCTGATCCCACTGCAGATACTTGGCAGATAATCTAGGCTGACAATCCAATGCAGTAATGATAGAATGCTGCACTGTCAGAGATGGCATCTTTCAGAAAAGATGCCTGAATTACTCCCTCTAGGAAAAGTGTAAAGGGTGGGGAGCAAGCACTAATTAACACAAACCCCACTGACAATCGACACTTTCAGGGAAGGAGGCTGGGGAAAAGCACATGCAACCCAACACTAAGAGCAAAAGGCATTCATCTGTATGTTTTCCTTTTGCTGCTGTAATCCCTACTTTTGGTGCCTCAGTTCAGCTGTTGTGGAGGAATCTCATACAAGGACTGGAGCCACAATATGTACTTCAACTGCACAGTAGAGAACCCCAGTCGGGAACGCTGCTCCGTCCCCTATTCTTGCTGCCTGCGCTCTAAGGAGGTAAGTGCCTGATTCTGATGAATACCGATACACAGACTGCAGTCCTCTTCCTGCATTAATAATCATACTCTGTCAAAGAGTAAGAACAAAATACTGCAAATGCTGGAAATCTGAAAAAGAAAATGAGAAAGATGCTTCAGCCAGTCAGACAAAGAATATTGGCAAGTCTATTAAGGATTAAATGTAATACTTGTATCCAACCCTCAGATTATAATGGATGCTTTCCACAGGCTACTCTCAATCAGAGTTGGTTAGGTTCAACCCCCCACATTGCTCCCTCCCTCATCCCACCTCACAATGCAGTGGTTTCACTTTAAACAAAGATCATTAGAACATCTCATCCGTGATTACACTTACTTCTTCAAAGTCATAAGCTTCATTCAGTCTGAATATAAACACCAATAACAAAGTGAGCATGGAGCTGTTACCATTGGAAGAGATATACAATGTAGAGATAGCGATTGTCCATGCATCCTCCTTTTGGAGGTTATTTGAACTTGATATTTGATGTCATCCATTCTAACCCTTGTCCTGTTAGAGCGCAGCAAGTTTGAATATGCCATTGATGATCTTTTAATAAGGTCAATTTAAGGCACTGAAGAATTTCAGCTACATTCCAGCATTCTTGTTTGTTGGCCAAGATCAGCAGCTCTGCTTTATTCAGATTCTCATGCGTTAATGAATTACAGAGTTTATCTCTGGTGATAGTACAGACAGGAAGAAGATTCTGTCAACAACTACAATCACAAGCTCCAGCTTGGTAAAGTTTGCTCAATGATGAACACAATAAATTCCTATTTCCAATATCCCATATAAGGAAATTTGCCTCTCTCCCTCCCTATTTACTGTCAATTGTAGGTGATATGCATACGAGTTCATCAGCATTCTGGTTTTGCATCCATTCAGTCCACTTTTAATGTGTCAAAGGTTCCACAGCACATTCTCCAGATGCACCATAAACTATCATGTCTAATTAATGGTACAGTAAAGAATATCCTTAAAGCTTCTCTGCCCCAAGGAGAATAACCCCAATGTTTCCAATCTCTCTATACAACTGAAGCTCTTCAACTGTTGTAGTCAGAGTTTTTACAGGACAGAAAGAATCACATAGGTGATTAGACCTCACCTGGAAAAATGTGACCTACTGTCTTTTTTTTATTTCAAAAATATACTTTATTCCTAAAAATATCTTTATATACATACATAGGCAGTAAAGCAGTTCGGTTCTGTATAGTAGCAAATGAAGAAACAAACATTTCAAGTTTGGCTGAATCCAGCAAACAAACCAAAGGCATTTCTTACTTGCACAAGACTATATTTACATATATTTGAGGCATCGGGAGGGTCCGGTAACTGAACAGACCCCCATTAACTTCAGCTGAAAGACCTTGGATGGTGGTTTTTTTTTTCCCTCCCACTGCACCTTGGCGACAGCTGCCCCAAGCTTTCATGTGTCCCTCAGCATGTAGTCCTGGACCTTGGAATGTGCCAGTCTGCAAACACTCAGTTGAGGTCTTCCAGAGCAAGGAGTTGACCAACAAGTTTGGACAAACCAAAGATAACACCGTGTGGAGCTAGAGGAACAGAGCAGGCCAGGCAGCATCAGAGGAGCAGGGAAGTTAATGTTTTGGGTTGGAACCCTTCTTCAGAAATGGGGTGCGGGAAGGGAGCTCAGAAATAAATAGAGAGGGGAGGGGTGGGGCTGGGGAAAGTAGGTGGGATGGTGATAAGTGAGTGCAGGTAGGGAGTGGTGGGGATTGGTCAGTGAGGTGGGAGGAGCGGATAGGTGGGAGAGAAGATGGACAGGTTGTGTTGGGGCAGGGATGAGAGCAAGGGTTGGTCATGGGATGAGGCTGGGGGCGGGGAGATTTTGAAACTGGTAAAATCCACATTTAGGCCTTTGGGCTGTAGGTTTCTGAGGCGGAACAGGAGGTGCTGCTCCTCCAGTTTGCGAGTGACGTCATTTGTGACACTGGAGGAGGCCCAGGGTGGACATGTCACCCAGGGACTAGGAGGGGGAGTTGAAGTGGTTCGCGACTGGAAGGTGTTTGCCGTTTGTCACGAACAGAGCGCAGGTGCTCTACAAAATGGTCTCTGAGTCTCTGCTTGGTCTCACCGATGTAGAGGACGCCACATCGGGAGCAGCGGATGCAGTAGACCATGTTGACTGATGTGCAGGTGAACCCCTGTCTAATGTGGAAGGTTTGTTTTGAGACCACATAGGTGAGCAGACATCATCTGGTGTGGACGTTCACTTTAGGAAAGATATTTCAAATTTGGGCAAGATTTACACGAAATTCAGAGGAAGTGTGTGCAGTTCTGGTCACCACACTACAGGCGGGATATGATTGCCCTAGAGAGAGTGCTGAAGGGATTCACCAGATATTGCCTGGGCTGGAACGTTTCAACGATGAAGAAAGACTAGGTAGGTGGGGATGTTTTTCTTTGAGTAGAGAAGGCTGAGGGGCAGATCTGATCAGGGTATGCAATGTTCTGACAGGCATAGGATAGATGGGGACAGGTGTTTCCCAATAGTAGAGGGGTCAATAACCAGGGGGTTCAGTTTTAAGGTGAGGAACAGGAGGGTTTACAAGAGATTTGAGGAGAACATTTTTCACCCAGAGTGCTGTGGATATCTGGAATTCACTTCCTAAAAGGTTGGTAAAGGCAGGAACCTTCAGACATAGAAGAAGTATTTAGGTAAAATGCCATAGTGTACAAGGCCAAGTGCTGGGAAGTGAGATTAGAATAGATAAATGATTGATGACTGACATAGACATGATGGGCCAAAGTGCCTGTTTCCATGCTGTAAAAACTTTGACTACAGTAGTTGAAAAGCTTCAGTTGTGTGGGAACGTTGGGGTTATTCTCCTTGGAGCAAAGAAACTTTAGGGGACATTTGGTACAGGTGTACAGCATCATGAAGAATTTTAAGACAGTAAATGCAGAGAAATTGTTTCTGGTAGTATGCAAATTGGTTACCTGAAAACAAGATTTGTGTAACTAACAAAGAAAGAGGTGACTCCAGGAAAATGAGTTTTCTGCAGTGAGTTATTATGACCTGGGATGCATTGATTTGAAAGGGCGGTGGATACAGACTATTATAATCTATTACTAAAGAGAATTGGATCATATATGAAGGGTCAAAATTTATTGGGTTTCGGGGAGAGGGGAGCTATTGGATCGCCTGACCAAAGAATTAGCCCAATCACAATGAGCCAAATGGATTCTTTCTGTTCTGTATGTTTCTACGTTCCTCTATATCCTACAGAAGATTATCCAATATATAGTTTCTGATAGTTACTGTCTCACACATTAAGTGCACAAGTCACAAATATTGCCTTTTGTAGAAAATGGGGGAATAAAACTGCTCACAAAATAGAGACAACATCGAGTGTAAGTTCTCTAATGTCAGCAGTGTATCTATCTTAACGGGAGTTATGGAAATATGAATAACCCAAATACAACTGCTTCTCTACCACGGTGCACTTGCCATCTCTGACCCCTGTGTTCTTCCAACGCAGAAAGTGATCAACACCATGTGCGGCCATGGGATGCAGGACCTGGACTACTTGGCAGCGAAAGATTACATCTACACCAATGGGTGCATCGACAAGCTAGTCAACTGGATCCATAGCAACCTCTTCCTGTTGGGAGGGGTAGCCCTGGGCTTTGCCATCCCACAGGTCAGTGTCACACCCACTTAATACCACCTTCATAGGAGGCATCCATCCTTGCAAACCTGCTCCACCATTCATTTGGATCATGGTTGATCTGTATCTATTAATTACCCTTGCCTATCAAAAACACATTCATTCCAGCTTTTCAGTTGATTCACACCAAACCTTAAGGGGTCAGGGGTTTGCGGTGGGGGTTGGGGGCTGTGGGTGCATGTAGAATGCCACCAGCCTTTGATTGAAGAAGTCTATCCTGGCACTGTCCCTGAATTACCTTACCCTCGTTTTAAACTTATGACCCCTTGTTCTGCGCTCCCCGACCAAAGGAAATTAATTTCTCTATCAAATCCTCTAATCTTCAGTTTCTCAATTGGGTCATCCTTGACCTTTTTATGCTGAAAGAAGACTATAAAACAAAGACGTAGAATTAATTCAGGCCATTGAATTTGCTCCACCATTCACTGAGATCATGACTAATCTAATAATCCTCAACTCCACTTTCCTGCATTTTCTCTATAGCCCTTAATTCCCTTGCTGACTTCAAAATCTGTCTATCTTAGCCTTGAATATACTTAACAACCCAACTTGACAGCCCACTGCATAAGAATTCCATAGATTCACCACCTTCTGAGAGAAGAAATTCCTCCTCATCTATGTCTTAAATGTGCAACCCCTTATTCTGAGATGATGTCCTCTAGTCCCAGACTCCCACAAAATGAAACAGCTTCTCCACATTTATCCCGTCAAGTCCCCTAAGAATCTTGCATGTTACAATAAGATTGCCTTGTTTTTAGCCTCATTTGTTTCTCTAGCACTTTCTTGCTAGTAATATTTATTATATTTATTTTCTCTCCTCCCTTTGCCGTTTTGATTATTTAGTAATTTTGGAATAGTGTTACTGTCTTCTACAGTGAACACTGATGCAAAGTATTTATTCAACTTCCCTCTGCCATTTTAGGGTTTGACATTATTAGTTCCCAGCTTCATTCTCTAAGGGGCCTATGTTCACTTTGGCACTACTTCACTTTGGAACTAGTATAATCTATACAGCCTATCCTCAGAATTTATCTGTTTTGGCCCCAATATTTTCTGATGTGCTATCTTTGTCATGCCACAAAATCCCTGCTATGCCGATCCAGATGCTCCCCCCGCCCACAAAAAAGTCCATCAACTACCCTGTACATCTCCCTGTGAACCTTGACGACAAGTTCTGGAATAAAAAGAGAGATGATCCTCCAAGTGTCTTCAGTGATTGGATTGTAATCGGAAGGAGAGATCCAGTGTTATTCACCCTGCATTTCCTCCTTGTGTTGCCTTTGGTGCTGAGACCAATCTCAGTGTGCCTCCCAGATGCTGAAATCAGCTGCTTCCTGTCCAGTGTTTGTTCTGGATGTGCACTGTCTGATGCAGTGATGCTTCCTGCAGTTGAATAGCATCTAGTGGACACCCACCAGAGTATGAGGACCAGTGAAAAATGCCCCTGACACAACGTTGGCCTTTTAAAGGAGAATTGAAGCTAGAGAAAAGCCTGGATAAATGCTGATGACTGTGGGAGGGAGGTAGAGAATGCATTTAGTAACAGTGCTTCCACATGGTGGAAGGAGGCACAAACCAGGATACTTCTCTCCTACAGTGATGGTCTCATGTGTGCAGATGAAGAGGCTGCTTCCTCTTGTGATTGAGTGGAATGGTCAACAATGATGGTGTTCCACCAGACAATCTTGAAGGCAGCAATGCCCCTTTAACAAGGGACAATCTTGCATTTATAAAATGTTTTTCACACAACCAGCAAGTCCAAAAGCTAATGAAGTACAGGAGGGCTGTTAAACTGTAGACACTGGTGTAATGTGAGAAAATTGTTAGCTGATTTGTGTACAGGAAGGGACTGATAATAAAAGATAATGACCTGATAAAGTGTTTAGGCCTTATTTGAGGGATAAATATTGGCCAGTGCACCAGAGTGAACACAGTTATTATAGGATCTTTAACGTCTTTCTGAAACTACGGCCCCTAATGTCTCATCAGAATGTGCAACCTCTGCAGTGCCTCCTCAGTGTTGGCTTAGATTATGTGCCCAATTTAATGGAATGGACGTTGAGCCCATGACTTTCTGACATTCTGGTGAGAGTGTTGCACTGAACTACCACTGTAAATAAGATGATACTAAAAGAATATGGGTAACAAATGAGCAAATATGTGAATATTATTAGCTGCAGAGAACTGTTCCTTTAAGAAGACTGTGGGTCTCTCTTCATTTTTTTTTGTTTCTACTTCTTCCTTCGACTGCCATCTCCAGTTGGTTGGAATTCTTCTCTCCCAGATCCTCATCAACCAGATCAAAGATCAGATTGAACTCCAGAAGTACAACAGCCAGCACCGAGCAGACCCATGGTACTGATCCTTCCCTGCTCAACAACACCCCTTCTCCACCCAATCCACAGCTATTCTCACATGAGAGGCAGGGCATTGTTCTCTTGGAGCCATTTTACAAGCTGCATACATGAAGACCAATTGAATTCTGAAGTGCGTTAGTTGTTTCCTCAGAAAAGACTGTGGTCGATAAGGATGGATAGAAACCAGTTAACTTTTAGTTTGTTGTACACACTGATCACAGGAACTCTTTTAAATTAATCTCTTATCTGGGTTATCAATGTCACATTTAACATTTATTTGTGTTATAAATATCTACAGTAGGCATCCTATATTATGACTGTTATATTGAACAGCAGCCTGTATAAAAAACCAAAAGAACTACAGATGCTGAAAATCAGAAACAAAAACAGAAATTGCTGGAAAGTCTCAACTGGTCTGGCAGCATCTGTTTAGAGTAATCAGAGTTAACGTTTTGGGTCCAGTGACCCTTCAGAACTCCAGCATCCTGTACACATCATTGATACTGGTCAGCTCGCTCATCCTTTTTTCATTGTGATCTTGCACTTGCCTTTTAAGGGATTTATTCGTCTGTTTCTGGGTAGCTGTGCTAATTGGTGTCCATGTTTGTGGCTATTTGTGAAATCTCTGTGCCCCATCATGCACTCTTACTCTGCTCCTGTATGTTACTGTTAATCTGTCAGTCTTGTGTTGCCGTCTTACTGTTATCTCTTACACATTGTCTCTCTCAGAAGGACAATCTGGGGAGAATTCAGTGCCTCCCAAACATCTAGTGGTTAGAAGGCATTCAAAATTGTCGAAGTGCTTACTTGGTCATGAACCTAAATCTAGCACTAAAAGACAGAAGATACTTCCTGACTTATGGTGTTAGTGTATTGAAATGGATGTTACAGTGATGTGACTTTTCCAATTGCTTATGTGTGTGTGTGTGTGTGTGTGTGTGTGTGTGTGTGTGTGTGTGTTTGGGGAGGGTGTTGTGTGGATAATGCTGATGTTCAATTATTAACTTAATTTTTTGCTAAATAAAATATTTTTGTCTTTTAATAAAATTTATAATTTGTTTGTGTTGAAGTACTTTAAATATTTATTTTTGGTTAATTTGTACAAATAATGCAGCAAGGGGGTGGCAGTTGTTCTACCAGATGGTACAATGACAGAGTTAGTTGAATAACATGCGTAACTTCTCAGATTCTGCCTTCACAGCTGCAGTTCCCTGAGCCAAAAATTCCTAATCTCAGGCATGCAATTTCTGGCTAAAGAGGACAGATGGAGAGATCAAAACCTACACCGTGCTTAAAGTGTAGCCAAAAGGCCTGCCAGGTTCACTAGACTTGCTTATAAGGAGGTATCAAAAGGTTGGCCAGCCTGGAGTGGCAGAGAGAGGTTTTTAAAAAAAACCATATCAGAGGTGAAGGAAAATGGGGATGGAAAATTCAAACATTGGTTTGCCTCAGGTAGCCAGCTATAACCTTTCCTTTTATGATTAAGGGAATTTTGGGTTGATCAAGGAGGTCAATATATACCATGCAGGAGAACTCTTGCAAGCTATGGAGCTAACCCCAGAGAAGTGCTCATCCTCGTTTTTCCCCATTAAAGTCCCTGTCGACTGCTCACTGAATGACTCGATCTCTCCTTGAATTGTTCCAGGACTTAGGCCTCCAATCCTATCATAGCTTTCCCAAAATCAAGTTTTTTTTTCCTCTGTAATGGTAGTAATGGCAAGAAGGGTTAGGTTGATGTGAATAAAAGTAAACCAAGCTAGGAGTCAAAGATCATAGGTTTGAGTCTCTCTTTCTACCCCAGCCATTTCAAAACACAACCTTTTGTTTATTTGTTTGCCTTCCTTCATCCGTCACACAAACTGTTCAGGGCCCTGCAAAAATGATTTCAACAAGAACTTGTTTGGAATAATCTGTGAGCAAATTCATACCACAGGAGATGAACTGGCAATTACACAGAAAGTGAGCCTGTTTGTCTGTGCAGGGCTTGCAATGCTGCACACGCTCAGGGGTGAGAGCCTGTGTGTGTGGTCTGAACTTCTTGCCAACAAGAGGCACTCACAGCAGCAGCCTGATGCATCGGTTTTCACTGTCAGCTTTGGCTCAGTTTCCTGCCTGAAAACTTTCCTCTTTTCTTTGTTTCCCAGTCCCACCCATCTCTCCCTCTTACTGAAGAATCAGATGCTTGGAGGAGGTGAAATCAGGAGGGGAAGGAACTATTCCACAGTTATTGCTGCCTGCCATCTTTAACTGCACCCTAATGAATGACTGAGGGGCCTTGACAGCAGCAAAGATGTTCTGCTGTGAAAGTCCAATGTGGAATGTCCCTGAGCCCTTCCCAGTGAGGTAGCAAGTAAGGTGCAATTGCCACACTGAATCTCCTATCAAAAACGAGGCCAGTCGACTGAGATAGTCCTCACCTGAGCATGGTATTCAAATTGTACTTTCCAGTGATAATGGGCAGGAGTTTGTGCACTCCCTCATGCTGTCTTTAGTTTGTTTCTTTTTCGTCCCCACATAGGCGCGTGTATACACACAGTGGTGGGTACAGAATCTGAGGCAATGATGGCAAATATGAAATATAATATGGGAAAATGTGAGGTTATGCACTCTGGAGAGAAGAGGACAGAGCTGATAATTATTTAAATCGGGAAAGGCTGCAGCATAGGGGTTTGGGTGTCCCAGTTGATGAATCACAAAAAGCTACAATCCAAATTCAGTGGGTAATAGGGAAGGCAAATGGAGTGTTGAGTATTTCAAAGGAAATGGAGTTTAAAAATAGCAAAGTCTTGCTAAAACTATGCAAGATATTGTTCAGACTACAACTGGAATGCTGTGAACAGTTTTAGACCCCTTATCTAGGGGATGATACACTGGCCGTGGAGGCAGTCCAGAGAGGGGAGACGAGGTTGATCCTGAGGTGGATGGAACTTATAATGATGTAAGGTTGAATAGATTGGGCTTGTACTGACTGCAGTCTAGGATAATGAGGGGAGACCTCTTTGAAGCAAATAACATTCTTATGGGGCTTGACAGACTAGATATGGGCTGGTTATTTCCTCTAGTGGGAGAGTCTAGGATCTGGGGCATAACCTCAAAGTAAGCAGTGGCCCATTTAGACACATCAGCATTCTCCCCACCCCCAAGGACTTTTTCACCCCAGAAGACTATTAAGTATATTCAAGGCTGAGATTCATGGGTTTGTAATCATTGAGGAAATCAAGTGTTCTGGAGATTATCAGATCAGACATGATCTCGCAGATGGAATGGACTCATTGGGCTGAATGGACTCATTGGGCTGAATGGCCTACTTCTGCTTCTATGTTTTATGGTTACTCCCTGCTCCCACAGCACAGTGAGATCAGTCCTACTCTGTACAGAGCTGTTATGAGATCATGAGGGAGGCAGCACTACCATGTACATCTTTGTTTTACGTCCCAAGTGATGTGGGGATTAGTTAGCTCAGAGGGCTTGGTGGCTAGTTCACAATGCAGAGAGTAATATCACCAGTGCTGGTTCAATTCCTGCACCAGCTGAGGAATCTTCCCTCACCCAGTGGTGACCCTCAGGTTGTACCAGCACTAATCATCTCTGTCTCTCTCTCTCTCTCTCTAATGCTATCAACCATAAGGTCTGCTAATTTTACTGAGGAAGATAATTGAGTTTACCCTGACCAGTATTGTATCATTTAGGGAAATGTTTTGCAGGTAGTGAGTGAATCTGGCTTAGCTTAGGAATATTTCTAAACCTTCGAAAACACTGAATCAGCTTCTGCTTGAGTATCACAGGAATTTTATCAAGGCTCAAAGGTTGTGGAGGAGATTTGCTAGATTGGTATCAGCAATAAAGAACAAGAAACTTCTGCAATTGACACTGCTCGCCTTCAAAAACAAGCTTAAGGGGAGATTTAATAAATGTGTTCAAAATCATGAGATGAGCTAACAAATTAGAGTCATTGAGATATACAGCACAGAAATAGACCTTTCAGTCCAACTCTTCCATGCCAAACAGATATCCTATATAAATCTAGTCCCATTTGCCAGCATTTGGCTCATATCCCTCTAATCCCTTTCTAAATCCAGATGCCTTTTAAATGTTGTAATCATGCCACCCTCTACCACTTTTTCTGGTAGCTCATTTCATACACGCGCCATCCTCTGTGTGGAAAAGGTGCCCCCTTAGATCCCTTTTACATCTTTTCCCTCTCACCTTCAACCTATGTCCTCTAGTTTTGGACTCCCCCCACTCCAGGGAAAAGACCATGTCTATTTACTGTATCCATGCCCCTCATGATTTTATAAACCTCTATTAGATCACCCCTTAGCCTCTTAATGCTCCAGGGAAAATAGCCCCAGCCTATTCAGCCTCTCCCTATAGCATAAGCCCTCCAACCCTGGCAACATCCTTGTCAATCTTTTCTGAACCCTTTCTAGTTTCACAACATCCTTCCTATAGGAGGGAGACCAGAATTGCACACGATACTCCAAAAGTGGCTGAACCAATGTCCTGTAGAGACTCAACATGACCTCCCAACACCTATACTCAGTGCACTGACCAATAAAGGCAAACCTACCAAATGCCTTCTTCAATCTAGCTCTCCAATCTAGCTGCAACTCCACTTTCAAGGAATAATGAACAGCAATCCAAGGTCTCTTTGTTCAGCAACACTCCCTAGGCCCTTACCATTAAGTGTATAAGTCCTGCCCTGACTTGCCTTTCCAAAATGCAGTACCTCACATTTATTTAAATTAAACTCCATCTGCCACTCCTCAGCCCATTGGTCCAAGAGATCAAGATCCCATTGTACTCTGAGGTAACCTACTTCACTGTCCACTACACCTCCAATTTCAGTGTCATCTGCAAACCTAATAACCATTTCTCATGTTCACATCCAAATCACTTACAGAAATGACAAAAAGCAGTGAACCCAGCACCAATTCTTGTGGCACACTGCTGGTCACAGGCCTCCAGTCTGAAAAGCAACCCTCCACCACCACCCTCTGTCTTCTACGTTTGAGCCAGTTCTATATCCAAATGGCCAGTTCTTCCTGTATTGGGTGTGATCTAACCTTGGTAACCAATCTACCATGAGGAACCTTCTCAAATGCCTTGCTGAAGTCCATATAGTTCACATCCACCATTTTTGAAGGCTTCCCATTTTCCAACCATCCTTTTACTTGTGAACATTTGCACCCCCCCCCCCCCCCCAAAACACTTTTAAAAGTTCTTGCCTACTACAGTCAAAATTGGCCTTCCTCAAATTTAGAACTTTAACTTTTAGATCTGGTCTATCCTTTGCCACCACTATTTTAAAACTAATAGAATTATGGACACCAGCCCCAAAGTGCTGCCCACCGACACCTCAGTCACCTGCCCTGCCTTATTTCCCAAGAGTAGGTCAAGTTTTGCATCTTCTCTAGTAGATACATTCAGGTGCTGAATCAGAAAACTTTCTTGTGCACATTTAAAAAGTTCCTCTTCATCCAAACCTTTAATACTTTGGTAGTCCCAGTCTGTGTTTGGAAAATTAAAATCCCCTACCATAACCACCGTATTGTTCTCAGAGATAACTGAGACCTCCCTATAAATTTGTTTCTCAATTTCCTGCTGATTATTGGGAGAGGGGGTCTATAGTGCAATCCCAATAAGGTGATAATCCCTTTCTTATTTCTCAGTTCCATCCAAATAACTTCCCTGGACATATTCCCAGGAATATCCTCCCTAAATACAACCGCAATGTTATCCTTAATCAAAAACACCACTCCCCCTCCTCTCTTGGCCCCCTTTTGATCCTTCCTGTAGCATCTATAGCCTGGAACGTGAAGCTGCCAGTCCTGTCCATTCCAGAGTCACATCTCTGTAATTACTATGACAGTCTGAGTGGAGTTTGCACGTTCTCCCCATGTCTGCGTGGCTTTCCTCCGGGTGCTCCGGTTTCCTCCCACAGGCCAAAGATGTGCAGGCTAGGTGGATTGGCCGTGCTAAATT